ATTCATGTTTCTTTCATAGCCAGCTGAGTCCATCTTTCACCCGTGCGCAGCTAAGAAGTCGAGATGGCACCAACCAACAGCAGTGAATGCAAACCCCCCCCTCCCCCCGGGGCCTGCAGCCCGTTTTGACAATAAAGGTAAATGCCCGGCAAGACAACGAATGTGAAATCATGGATCTCGCACACCAGAACAAGTTGGGCCTGTTGCACGGAGATTCCATTTCTTCCTTTCAGCTGATAAAAAGCAGCGACATTCCTCGCAGCGAGAGGAGTACGGGGGAGCCAAACCAGGAACATTGTCCCTCTGTGAATCAGGGACCAAGGATCCCAATAGAGAGGGCAGCAGGGAACGCAGCTCCAGCGAAGCTTACACTGAGGTCTGGGCTCGACCACCGACGGAATAGCCATTATTACCCAGTCCCTACGGCTGAGCTCTCCCACCTCACCCCTTTAGAGCCCAAGATCCAAGCCACATGGGGTTTGGCGTCATGCCATTTCCCCCTTTAGGATCAAAGCAATATGAAAACCTGAGCAGGACCCCTGCCAGTCCTAGCCCCAGACAGAAGGAGTGGCCCCTGGAGAAATGCTCCTTTTCCCTGGGAGCCCACATGGAGAAACACGTTTGGGATGTTTAGTTACGTCAGGTACAGATGTCCAGGGAACGTGCCCCCTCCCCAAAGGCTGCCACAGCTGAGAAATCAGGCCGGCCCTTTGCAGACATTTATTCCCTTAGGTCCCTATAAAATCACTGCAAAACAATTGCAATTTTGCAGCAGCTAAAATAAATAAAGAAATAACAACACACACACCCCTCACCACCGCCCGCAGGGTCTGATAGCGCTGGTGGGGGTCAGGAAGGGTTAATTCAGTGCAAAAAGAAAAAGGGGGGTTAACAGGCCGAGAGGGGGGGACGGAACCAGGCTCAGTGCCCGCTACAACATGCTCCAAAGACAAACTCCACGTGCAGCTGGGGCGAAGGAATGGGAAGGGGGGAAGGGGAGCTGCAGGGCTGGGGGGAAGGGGAGCTGCAGGGCTGGGGGGAAGGGGAGCCGCAGGGCTGGGGGGGACGGGGAGAAGAGGAGCCGCAGGGCTGGGGGGGGGAAACGGAGGGAAGAGGAGCCGCAGGGCTGGGGGGGACGGGGAGAACCGCAGGGGGGGGGACGGGAGGGGAGACGGGGAACCGCTGGGCGAGGGGGGAAGAGGGCACGGGGGTAAAGGGGGGAACTGCAGGGGGGACGGACGGGAGGGGAGACGGGG